GAGCCCGCTCGCTCGCCGCCCCCCTCCCCCCCGCACTGTCCTTATTGCAGAACACACAGCCTGAGGCTGCCTGGAAGTTGAATGGGGTTTTTTTTTCTTACCCCACGTAAAGTTGCGACCCCGAAATGGCACAAACAGACTTCACCAGCCGGTGGAATAGAGGAAGTTTATTGCCTCTCCAGGATACAGCACAGCACAGATGTAGTCTGGTCACAGAGCTGGGCTAGGATGCCTCAGGCCCCCTTTGCAGAACACACAGCCTGAGGCTGCCTGGAAGTTGAATGGGGTTTTTTTTTCTTACCCCACGTAAAGTTGCGACCCCGAAATGGCACAAACAGACTTCACCAGCCGGTGGAATAGAGGAAGTTTATTGCCTCTCCAGGATACAGCACAGCACAGATGTAGTCTGGTCACAGAGCTGGGCTAGGATGCCTCAGGCCCCCTTGAGATGGGGGAGACTGGGCCCCTAAACTCCAGCCCCTTCTCCTAGGCTCTCCTCCATGCTCTCCCACCATAACTAACTAAATTCCCTTGCCGCCCTGCCCCCCAGCCAGGGCAGCATTCCACCTTCCTTTGTTCCTCTCCATGGGGGGTGTCTGGCCACTGGTTCAACAAGTTTGGCATTACCTCTGCCTAGCGAGGTTTTCCCTGCTGGGTCTTGCTCCAGACAGCAGGGGTCACCACAGCCCAGCAAGTACCCCCACTACGTCACAGGCGGAAAAGGGTTTTCCTTGCCTTTAGGAGCCACCGATGAGACTTCGGGATGCTTCAGCGCTTCCTGCTCTGCATGGCCCTTCCCTGGGCTTGCAAGGCTTTTGAAGTGGGGCCCGTTGTGGACCGTGATCAGCCCATGTGGATTAGCTTGCAGGGCCCGATCCTGCATACTCTAGGAAGCGGCGGGAGCGGGGTCCTCTCCGGGGGGGGCATGTGTGTTTACATCAAGAGAGCTACCTGTAAGAACACGCCTGGGCTTTGCAGTGACGCTGTAGCTAGCTGTAAGCGTTGTATCATATAGCAAGTATGTACAGGATAGGGCCCTGAAAGGGCTGTAATGGGTTAATTAAGAAGGGAAGGACTTTGACTGTTAGCTGGCAGACTGTCTTGGCCTGGGGGCTCCTTTAGAGAGGTTACATGTATAATCCCCAAGTGCCAATGCCGGAAAATACCCTGCTCGGGGGAGGGGGTCTCATTCGGGAGAGGGTTGTTTGCAGCCTGTTTTGTGGGCGTGATCCAGGTCGCCCGGTCAGTCCTGTGCAGCAGAACCCTGGGTCCCGATCCTGTAATCAGTGCAGCCCCTTGGGGGGGGGGGTCCCCCCCCTG